ATACTCAGGTCTCACTAAACGTTTGCCACTAACAAATAATCATAGACTATTTTCAACGTCCCGCTACAGCACTTTATTTATACGCTTTCAGCATCAATTCAGAGGGCGCTGCGCGCGCCACGCACGCGCGATGGCTCTGAAACTTTATTAATTTGCATAATATCCTATAATTGACATTTGCTGCGAATTTCATTTGATTTTGATGATTCCTTCATGGTGTTGCATTTTCTACAAACAGCAGTTTACTTTGCACGATTTTTGCTATTATTTGCCCTTTATTTTACACCCTTTTTTCTCAACATTTCACTTTACGATATAATTTATACACTTTGTGTTTTGCTTCACGCTTTGTTCTTAGTTCATGACGCTTCGTTTTAAAAATTTACCTTACGCTTTACTTTATACGATAGTGTATTTTATTGTATTCTTTTTACTATATATTTTTTTTTACATTGCTCATTACTTTATATTTAAGGCTCTATTTTATGCATGATATAATACAATTTTTATAATTTTCACCTTACACGCTCTTTATTTCATACTTTATTTCTCACTTAACGTTTTACTTCGTATGTTAAGCTTATATTTGACGCCCTACATTAGTTTATATTATGTTCATGATTACTTTATTATTTTATATTGCATTGCAGGTTTTACATTATTTGCATTTTGGATACATTATTTTATATTGCTTACGTTATTCTATATTTTACCTTTAATTTAACACTTTACTTTACACTTTCCTGTATAGTTCACGCTTTACATTATTTTACTCTTTATTTGCTTTTCGCTATATTTTATGCATTACTTTACGTTATACATTATATTATGCTTTATTTCTTCTATACTTTTCATTTCTGCTTTTTACATTTTACGCTTTACTTTACTTTACTTTACTCACACTTTAATTTACACTTCATATTTTACGCTTAGTTTACTTTACGCTTATACTTTACCCGGTACTTTACTTTTACTTCTCTTTATTCTTCACTATAATTTCTACTTTTCATTTTACGCTTTTATTTTTATTTTTAAGAGCAAAATATTTAGTAACGTAAAAAAAGCGTACACTTTATATTTTTAGCTTTACTTTGTATTTTATACATTACTACTATGCACAATTTTCATTTTAATCTTTATATAAAAATTTACTCTTTATTTTAGGCTTAAATTAACTTTAACTTGGTTTACGCACAATTTAATATCGGAATGATTCAGCAAAACATTTATGCTGTAAATTTATCAATTGGAGTTTTTTTAATGAAAAATAAGAATATGTTCGAAAATACGATAAAGAAAATGCTACCTAATTACTTATGCCAAAAAAAAAGCATTAATTTCACGGTATTCAAGAATTTTTTTTTACCACATTTTACTTCTATGTCAAAATGAAGAAGGTATAACTGCAGTTTACCTTGTTAAATTTTTCGCTACTGTGAGATTTATTTAGAAACTCGTTTATTTTAATTGGATAATGTACCATTCTGCATCGTGATATTTCAATAAAGCGTTTATTTTATTTAATATTACAGGCAATTAATCTTAAAATAGTTTTATTATTATTATCAGTAAGCACCGTGCCCTATGAGGACGTTAATGTTAACTTTGCTATTAATAATTCGTTAACTCCAAATTTTTAACCTATTTTATGTAAGTCTACGTCAAGATTTTTAAATGCTTTCAGCAGAAAAATGAATCATTTTAATTTCCTAATATCGTGGATTTATTTTCCGCATTAATATTACTTACGTTTTTAAAAATGACTTCAACATGATTAGAAGGCCTCAAAATTTATTTTGACGAATATATTGTCTTTTTGTCGAAAATGTAAGTCTTGAATTCAATTTCCTTTTAGCGTACGCAATTTTGCTTGCTATTAATTTCTCTATTTATATTGCGGTTTCCTTTTGTTTCCTTAAAAATTTATAATAATGCTGGTTCATATCAAAACGAAAATTATTACTCTCTTCTTTTATATTACTTACCTTTAAAAAGCTAGGATGTCGAATCTTTGTTCAATTTGTATTTCATGAAGTTTTCGAAAGCTGAAAAAATATCACATATTTATTACTATTACATAAACACTTATGCAACATTATAGGGATCTTTCAAACATTATATAAGGATATTAAGGGGTGGGTTATTTTTAAATCACATTAATTTTTTTTTCTTAAAAAAATAGTGAATTGAAATTACTTCATATTTAAAATAAAAGTTTGAAGAAAGAAAAAGGCGGACATTAGTAGCTGTTATGTGTTTCAGAGATCAAGAGTTTTAATAGAAATAATGAATATTCTTCTCAAAATTTTATAAAATGAATTGAAATATCGACTAATTTTTTTTTGAAAAGTTACCTTGTTCATTTGAGTTCTAAAATTAGATTACTTCAAGAATAGCTAAAACAAGAGCAAGATGCCACGTTGTTAAATTCTTACTTAAGCATAGGATGTGATATGCTTATTTTCAGTGACTAGGTGTCCAGAATAGAAAAGAACAAGCATACTTTGTTTGAAAAGTCCAATAAACATTCCTTTCTATTTTCGATGTTATTTCTAAACATGGTTCATTGTGAGAATAACACAAATTTTATTAATAATTTACAACAGAAATAGAAATTCGTAATTAATTTCTGTTCATTCGAAAATAAGGAGAGTTTACTCTTAATGGATGGAAGGCACTATAACAATGAAAAATGCCGATTCAAAATTTTTAATGCAGAAAATGTTAAAAGTTAACAAGTTTATAATGTATAAACTTTTTTTCGATATTATTCTCCCTGATAATTTTATAATGGTTTCTACACTATTTCTTAACCTAACTATCTGAAAAAGGTGTTAAAGGTCATACAAAGGAAGGAACATTTCAGCTTAATATTTTCCGGAACCTACGTTATTCTGAAAAGAATTAGAAATTCCAATTTTTATCTATTCTATTATTCATTAAACTAAAATATTCATCATTATTTGTTCTCTCAAATTGACCTTTAGGAAAATATAAAAAACGAAAATGCTGCAGGCACTTCCAACTCTTATAAACTCTTTGGAATACGGCATTTATTTCGGAACAGAGTAAGATTTATTTTTGAATTAGAGGAGAACAATAGACAGTCATCTCGGATTTCGACGCATACAAGAATGGTCAGAAGTAAACTATTTTACTCTCATGCTGCTCAAGGCTGCACAAATCGGTTTCAACAGCTTATAAATAGTTTAATTTATATACTGTAGTTTTCGAAAGCAGTTAAAAAATGAGAAGGAATAAAAATGCTATACTTACAGCAAAAGTTTTATAAATAGTTTAATTTTAGAGTCTTCAAAATTGATCCAATTTGATAGGTCAGTATCTAAATATGTCCATTAGTTTCCACACTTGATTAACCATTCTTGAATCATCCAAACGGGTCCTAACTACTTAGACTACTGAGCAAAATAATCCTATAAAAACTGAAACAAGCTGCATTAAAATAACATGCCATAACGTGTTAAAAATTATTCATTTCGCAGGAGATCGAAAGCAAACTTGGAAAAATTAAACTATGTAAAGATTAAAATAGAGTGCTAGAAACATGCAAAAACGAATGATAGAAAGAAAACTAAAAAACACCACAAAGGAAATGGGAATAATAAATTAGGAAATGAAAAAAAAACTGAATTCAAATATTGAAAAAAACTCCGTAAACAAATAAACAAAACTACGAAAACTCCATAAACAAATAAAAAAAAACCAATAAAAAGACGAAACATAAGCAGTGGAGGACAAATGAAAAAAATGTAATGAAAGGACGAAAAGCAAAACATTATGAACAAAAAGAATTAAACAATAAAAAACGGAAAAAACAATGAAATACGAAAAAAATAATGAAAAAACGGGAAGCAATGAAAAATGGACATAATTAAAAAACAAACACCAAGAACAAACAGAAAACGTGCACAATTAAATGACGAAAAACAAAGCATCGTGAACAAATATGAACATCGTGAAAGGGAAATGTGAGCATCGTGAACATCGTGAAAGGGAAAATAATATACTATGAACAAACGGAAAAGAAACACATTGAAAGAGCAAAAATCAAAGCCATCCCGAACAAATGGGAAAAAGCATGATAAAAAAGACGGAATACACCAAGAACAAACGGAGAACAAACACAATGAAAAGGCGAAAAAAAGTACTGTGATCAAACGGAAAACAAACACATTGAAAAAGAAAAAAACTAAATATCATGAACAAAAAAAAATATAAATAAAATCAGAAAGCAATGAAAATCAAAAAACTAATAAGAAACAATGAAAAAACTAATACAAACAATGAAAAAGTGAAAAAACAAACATAATTAAAAAGCAGGAAACAAAACACCATGAACAAACAGAAACTGAGCACAATTGAGAGATGAAAAACGAAGCGCGGTGAATAAAGGTAAACATATTGAAAGAGTAAAAATCAAAGCCCCTGTCACAAACAGGAAAAACAAGATAAAAAACTGGAAAACATCAAAAACAAACACAATGAAAAGGCACGAAAACAAACATTGTAAAAACACGAAAAACAAATCACCATTAAGAAACAGTAAACAAATACATTAAAAAAGGGAAAAAGTAAATATCATGAACCAAATATAAAATAGTTAGAAAAACAGGAGGCAAACAATAAAAAATAAATGCAAACAAAAAAAGATGAAGAAGAAAACTTAATTAGAAACCGAAAAATAAAACACCATAAACTCAAAACACAATGAAAGGACGAAAAACAAAGGGACCGTGAACAAACGAAAGAACAGATACAATGAAAAGGCAAAAAAAGAAACCACCACGAGCAAACGGATGACGAACAAGATGAAAAGGCAAAGAACGAACCACCACGAGCAAACGAAAAATAAGCTTAATAAGAAAATGGAAAACAAACATAATGAAAGCATGGAAAATAAACACTAAGAAAAGGCGATGAACAAAACACTACGAATAAATGGAAGACTAAAACGCAATTTGAAGACGCAAAGCAAAACATCGGAAAACGAACATTGAAAACAATGAATAACAGACATCAAACTCACGGAAACGAACTAAAATATGGATAAATGGAAAGAAATGAACTCGTGAGAAATTCAAGAGGAAAATAGCCTCCAAAAACATTGCATGTTCATAACAAATGTAAGTGGGGCGTTAAAGAAGGGAAAATAAAATAAAAAATAAATAAAAGAAAAAAAAACCCGGATAAATGAATAAGTGAAAAAGCGAACATCAAAAAGCAGAGCACTGCTATCATAAAATGATAAGGAACAACCAACATGGAAAAAGGAAACAAAAATAAAATTCACGGAAACGTAAAAAAACATGGAAAATTGTAGTAAAGAAGTGTAGCTGCGTAATTAGAATTTTACAGAAAAAAAAGACGTTAAAGAATTACGTAGACACATAATTCAAGTGGTAGTAAAAAAAAATTTATAAATTTGTGTCAAAAAAACTAAAGGAACGGAAATTACCGTTAAAATGATAAAATGATTTAGCCACAAAAAAAAGTAGAAGAATGCACAAAAAAGGGGCTGACCAACAAAAAAAAAAAAAAAAAAAAAATCAAAANAAAAAAAAAAAAAAAAAAAAAAAAAAAAAAAAAGAGTACATGCTTGAACAAAAATTTTAAAGACCGGTATAAACAGAACTGGACTAAACTTAGTTAATTGTTTTTAACTATGTAAAATACGCACGAACTATTTACCTCTTTAGAAATATGAATTAATAGAATTGCATCAGAAACGTTATCTAACTTTAAAAAAAAAATGAAAAAAGAAATTTATTTGATCAAAAAGTAAAAGTAACCTTATGTAAGGAAATACATACCATCATGTGAATGCATAAAACAATAAGTGGAACCGGCCTAAAGAGTCGATCAGAAAATATAAATTAAAACTTACCTATATTATTCTACTATTACAATATCAGGCAGATACATTTTTTTTCTTTAGATCCTGAAAAAGAACCACTTTTATAATAATTGAAAACTTTCAAATAAAATTAATTCAACTCGTTAAAGCTTAGATAATTAATAAAACTGATTACGCATAGCTTTAACCTGAATAAAAGAATATAATTTAACTATTCTTGCGTAAAGCTCATGGGAACATTACGCTTCACTTTATGTTTCACGCTTTACTTTATATCTTACGTTGTAAATCAGGGGTTTCCAACTTACATGAGGCCGGGGGCCGCAATTAAAAACACCAGTCAAATGGCAGGCCGCTACTTTATCAAAATTTTACATAGAACTGTTTCATGTTTGAAGGAGCATTAAATATTACTGTTAGATTTTTATGAAGTTATACAAAACAAAAGTATTGAATTACTAATTTAAATAAGAAGTAGAATTTAACCTGAGAAATAAATTTTTTTGCACCGTTGGTGTGTTCAATTTCACAGAAACGAAGAAATTAAGTTGTTTTTAAACGAAGAAAAGTACTTCTAATCCATTTAGATTTTTTAGGCTTCGCGGGCTGGATGCAGCCCTTGGGCCGCCAGTTGGTAAACACTGTTGCAAATTATATTTCACGTTTTATTGCACCTTCTAATTTCTTTTACTTTACTTTTCTCTTTATGTTTTACTCTTGACTTTAAACAATATTAATTTAGCCTTACATTATACTTTAATTTACGCTATAATTGTATTTTATTTACTATTTTATACTTAACTTTAAACTATGCTGTACTTTTTACTATATAAAAAATTTAGGGTCTTCTTTACTTTTTTCTCTTTACTATATATTATACATTTGATTATACTTTCTACTTTACGCTATGCTTTACTTTTTTTCTAGATTTCACTTTTTATGCTTTTCGATTTTTACCATCAGCTTTTTACTTTACGCTTTGCTTTTATATTTTACGCTTTCGTTTAACTCTTTTTAACATACGCTTGACATTTTCTTAATTCACTTTTCCTTCACTTTACATCTCACATTTTACATAACACTTATCACATGCCTTATGCTTTTACTTAATATTTTACGCTTTAACTTTTCCTGACATTTCACATTTTACTACTCTTTATTTTCTACTTAATAATTTAAGTTTACTTCATTTAATGCTTTTTATTTTATACATCTTCAACTTTATTAAATATTTTACTATTTACACTTTATATTTTCGCTTTACTTTATATTTTTTGCATTAGTGTACGCAATTTTTATTTTACGCTTGATTTTAAATTTTATGCTTTATTTTATTTAATGCTTAACTTTTTACTTTGATTACGCATCATTTATTATTTGGACACTTCAGCACGACATTTGAATCTAAAATTCATTGATTTAATCATTTTTCACGAAACAATCTAACCATATTCGAAGATACCGCAAAAAATATTCTACTTAGCTATTTATAAGCAAAACAGAAACATTTATTTTATTTTACAATAGTTAATTTTATTTTTTTGGCTCATTTTATCACTGTTAAAATGAACAAGGTTTATCCACAGCTCAATAAATTTGTTTCATCGCTACATTGGGATTTAATTAGAAACTGTTTTATTTTAATTGAATAATGCAACATTCTTTATCGAGACATTTGAATGAAACGTTTATTTAATTAATATTACAGGTGATAAATCTCGAAATGGCTTTTTTATTATTAGAAAACATCATTCCCTTTTAGGACGTTAAATTTAACATTGTTATTTATAATTCGGTGATTACAAAAATGTCTAACCTATTTTTTCACAATAATCACTGCTGCTGATCATTTTATAAAATCTTTCAAAAACTCATTTGAAGATTCCTTAGATTATCGTTTGGAAATATAACAATAACTTGCATTAACAATACTTGTAACAATAACTATAGCACATACTTATAACATTAATTTCAATACTTGTAATAATAATTGTAAACAATAACTTGCATTGATGGAATAAAACTGTACGAAATGGCTGTAAAGTCGCGAACATTTTATCACTTAAAAATAAAAATATAAAAAACGAGAACGTCTTAGATACTTCAATTTTTTAAAAATATTTTTGAATACGGTACTTTTTTTCGTTTTCGAAACTGATTAAGTATTGAATTTGAACACATTTATTTTTTAAGAGCAAACTCGTGCGCACTTTTTTGTTAAAAATTTATAGCCTAATCTTGAGAAACAATTATCCACGAAATTAATTAGTAACCTTTGCGTGGGATAATTAGTTAATAACACTTAGTAATATAATTTTTCTTATCAAAACTAGTAAAAAGCTCCAAAAAAGAATTTAAATACTTTCTTTTAAAAGGGGTTGAAATTTTTTGCTTTGATAAGTGGCTGGTAGGGAAAATAATATTCGAATTTCTAATATCTAAGATCTGATCAATTAAGCACTTTTTTTTTCTTATGTTGGCGTTTCCACATTACCAACTTTAAGCTCTTGCGAAGCATAATTTTATACTTAACATTCACTCACAGCTCCTTTTATTCATGGCGGGTTTTAATATGTTACTAGTAAAAAAATTGAAAGGAAATTGCCAATCAGTATATTTGAAAGCAATATGTAAGACATAGTTTTAATCCCCTGATGGTAACCGGGGATAGGTGAGGTGAACCGGGTTCGAATCCCGGTGATGGCTGGTCGATTCAAGCTCGCATCGATCACAGTGCTGGCCTAAAGTATCCTCATTGTCAGACGGATTACGTCTTAGAGTCCCCTTGCAATCAGCTTAACTGAGGGAGATTT